CAAACACAGAAGACAACCCCGTGACAGTATGCGTTTTGTAACGCTGTTACACAGCACAAAACGCATAAAAACGAAATGGAAAAGGGAAATGGGAGAATGGAAATTTTCGTAATAGGTAAGAAATGTTTCGGTCCATTAAGTCGTATACATTTTTTTTTTACCTCATTTTGCAGTTATGTGCAATGGAAATGAATGATTCGCAGTGTATGGAGGAAGGATTGGCAATGGACGATGAGCATGTGTATGCGAATGTACAGGAGATGGAGGAGGAAAGTCGGCGCCGTGAGCAGCCACCCATTCCGGAACCCATGCAGCAGCCCGTTCGTGATGTCGGTGGCGGATGGTTCGAGTATATCACCGAATCGGGCAGGTCCGAATTTCCTTGGTTACTTGAAACCGTGTAGAAATCCACAAACTGCTTTCAGAATTTTCTTGCGCATATGCAAATACGAAAACAGCAAGGTCATAAATGCAATGTGTGTGTGAATTTGTGTATGTGAATTTGTGTATGTGGATGTATGTGTTTGTATGCGTGTATGTGCGCATATATATATATGTATATATATATGTGTGTATGCATGTATGTACGTGTGTATGCATGTATGTACGTGTGTATGTATATATATGTGTTTATATGTATATACGTATGTATATATGTACACTTGTATGTATATATGTATGTGAGTGTAGGTAAGTGCATGTATCTATGTGTGTGTATGTGTTTGTGTGTGTGTGTGTGTGTGTGTGAGTGGGTGCATTAACGCCGTTATTTGTCTATGTATAGACATTTTAAGTTCGCATGTGAGAGGCTAAAAAGCTGGAGTGGAAAGTAAGACCGCGAAAACAAACGTGAAAAGAGATAGTGGAAAGCATATGTTGTGAAAAATGTTCAGGAGATGTAATGAGGGCCAGTGGGAAGGCTGAATGTAAACTTGACTGTCTGTGTGTTTCATCCCTAAGCTGCAAACACAGACAGTATTCGGTGTTGATTGGGTTGGGAATCGTCAGTGCAAAACTTTGGGCACTAGTTTTTTTTCCGTGTAATTACTCCAGGACCTCACATCCTAGCGTTCTTTTCACGCTGAACTTCGAGCTATGACCTCAAATGAAGAAGATTCTCCAGCTGTGTAGCAAGGAAGTTTTCAATACATTATTCTCATAAAAAGAGTTTCCTCATAATTTACAGGTCATGATTGTCCGTATCATGGTTTAATTTCCTCTTCTTTCTCTCCTCTTAATTCTCTCTCTCTCTCTCTCTGTTGCCTCTATTTTTTCCTTCTCTTTTTTCTCCCTTTGTTTTCTCTTTCTTTCGCGCATATCCGTCTTACAAATTAGTCACATGACTGTTCACTATTTGGCAGGTAGGGGGCTGTACTGATGATCCCTGCTCCCAACCTGATGCAAAGTTCGGTCAGTGTTTACAGCTAAGGGATGAAACACAGACAGACTGCTGCATCAAGTAAAATGTCTTCTTACACACTTAGTCTAGTCCCTCTGTTCTACTATTTCATTGTCTGATTTTCCAACAGGAAACTTTTTCAAACGTTTTTGCTAGTGTTACATTGTCTGATAGTCAACCTGCTCGTGGTCTTAGTGCTCTTTTTTTTTCGTTTCCTTATGAACATGGTTTCAAGATCGGTGCTGTTAGCGTGATGGTGGTTGATAAGCCGATTGTAGCATCAGGTTGACCTTGAATGTCAAAGTGTCGAAGACGCATTGAATACAGAAAGCGAGAATAGTATGAGGGAAGGAGGCAAGAATGAGATAAGAAGTTTCGGTTCATTAAAAGTCATATACGTCTTAACTCAACACC